CTTGAGAGCTTTTTTCTCTGCAGATTTTTCTCCCCTAAGCAGATTTTTCTCTGCAAAGGTCATCGCCCTACCGTCTCTTCGTCACCTCGGGTTTTCTGGTGAGAAGTTCTCCATCACACATCTCATTCAACATGAAGAACCTCCTTCGATCTCATCCCTAACCGTACTTATCCGCTGTCTCATGTTCTCGGTGGTGCCAAATCTCGTGACGGTTGGTGTCTCTCGGTCAGAGCCGCCAGATCCAGCGACGTCGCCTTCTCCATGGCTAGATTCGTTGTCGACAACAAAGCTTTTGCAGTTTCTCCCCGAGCCACCACATCCTTTTGATCCTCCAGACCCGTGTGCCTCGACGATTCCTTATCGGACGACCGACTCTATCCAAATTGTATCGCATCTCCCTCCTTTGGCGAGTCTCTTTTGGACCAGCTTATTCCATGTCTCCGGCGATAGATGCCTCGCCATCTATAAGGCCAGTGATGTTGTTATAGTTGATGTGGCTTTGCACAATTTATCTTCCTTCACCGGTGATGTTGTTGGTACATTTCGATTCATTTTTCTCTTCCATGGAGAAAACTATTGCACTTGTTCCCTTCTCTTCCAAAGAGAATTACAATCACCTATTTTCCTCCTCCATGGAGAGACCCATTTACTTTTTTATGGAAAGCCCATTTTCCTCCTTTATGGGGAGATTTCTTTCCTTCTTTATGGAGAGATACAAATCACCAAATTCCTCCTTTATGGAGTATCTCTTACAAAACTCAGCCTCGATAGCCATGGTGTTAATCGTGCGAGCAACAATTGACCACTATATGGTCTTGGGAATCAAGAAGACTATCATCTTAGTCTCGATAATGGCTTCAAACCCGGACATGTTTTCGGATTTGTGGAGTCGTGTCTCCCTATTCATCTCAAAGACTTCTACAATTGATTGTAGTTCTTTTGATTTTATCATAGTTTTATCAAGTTTATGTTTTAACAATGTTGCTATTCTTCTTTTTGAGTATTCATCCTTGATGGCTTGTAACAACTTCTCTTTTATACAGCGTATCCACTGTTTGATAAAAACAAAAAAAAGACTTTAAACTGAAATTGATGTCGGTAAATTGCATATTTCCATTAGATTCACCATTTCAATCAAAAAGATATGTTATCATATTTTCACAACAATTATGTGCATGCATGTTTAAGTTTTTTTTTCCCCATTGAATGTGCATGTTAATTAAGAATACCTATTCAATGTTTGGTAAAGTTTGAAAAAGTATATAAACAGTTAACTTTAAAAAATGATTAGAGAAAACGCTAATCAAGAAAGTACTTGTTAATTCATTATGTCAGAATTACTTGTTAATTATGTTGGAAACAAAAGGAAATGAAATCGGTCAAGAAGCATTGTAAAAAGTCAATGGTTAAAGTAGCGTTTGAAAGCTTATATGTTTTTGATGCATCCAACAACATCTCTGTATCCCTAATTCGATTATGATTGATATGACATCTAAACTTTTTTTCCAAAAAGTATATAAAAAATGTCACTACATTTATATCAAACAACAACGACCGCCCTTAGATTCGATGATTTTTGTGTGTGCGCGCGCTGTGTGAATAATCTTTAAATTAAAGAAAAAATTACCATAAATCTGGACGCAATATACATAAACATTGACCCCTTCGAATTTTTATTTACAACAAACAAATAATATATTCTCAAACGAATAAATGCAATTTTCTTTTTCCTCCCTAACTTATTAATCCGCTTGTGTTAAAGCGGCATGCAATTTCTAAAGTTAAAAGTTATATATAAAAAAAATAGTTAATCAATCTAAAAAACTTCTCACCTTTTTATTAAAATAAATGGGCTAAACCGTCGGTATTTCCTAGAGAACTTGCTGGGCCTCGGCCTAATTATTCAACAGACGAA